AAAAGCAAAAAAAAAAAACCAAACCCACCTAATGTTGAAGACCCCCGCAAACACATAAAGGACCACGATCTGCGAATCTGCACTTGGAATGTGCGCACTTTGTACAGGACAGGCGCAGTTCTCGCTTTGGCGGATGTACTCAAGAAGTACAAAGCCGATATTACTGCCTTACAGGAAATGCGATGGAAAGGGGCAGGCGCAAGTAAACGATACGATTACGCACTGTATTATAGCTGCCATGAAACGAGACATGAATTTTTCTGCGGATTTATGGTTAACAGGAGAATAAAAGACCTCGTCTCCAGATTCACTCCAGTAGTTGACCGAATTGCTATAATTCGCATAAAAGCGAAGTTTTTCTACATCAGTCAGATAAAGATGAGCAGACCAAAGACATATTTTACGAGAGCCTAGAAACAGCATATAAACGCTGCCCTGGCCATGACATTGAAATTCTGCTAGGAGATTTTAATGCAAAACACGGAAGGGAAAATACCTTTCGCCGCCGGAAAATTTAGCCTTCATAAACAAACATCCGACAACGGCATGAGGTTGATTGACTTCGCGGCAGCAAAAACATGGTAGTTAGAAGCACCAGATTCAAGCATCTCGATATACACAAGGCCACCTGAATTTCTCCTGATCAAGCAACGAGAAATCAAATTGATCATGTTGTGATAGGCGGAAGGCATTCATCCAGTGTATTAGACGTCTCGGGGAGCGAATATCGATTCGGACCATTACCTTGTGGCAGCCAAGGTACGCACCCATTTTAATGTAGCAGCAAAGGTGCGATCTAATGTAACACGGAAATGTGACGTCGAAAAGCTGCAAACACAACAGGTAGCCGAGGCCTACTCCGCTCAACTTACCCAACTGCTTGACGAAAGCACCCCATGTCCGGATAATAATATAGAAGCACAATGGCAGAGAATTGTTCAATCCCTACAAACTGCAGCAAAAACATCACTTGGGTACCAAAAACCACCACCAAGGAACCTATGGTACGATCAGGAGTGTCGTAATGCTACTGATATGAAAAACGCAGCGTATAGGGCAACACTGTGGACAGTAGCAACACGTAATGCGATGGAGAACTATCGGGAGAAAAGGAGAGAGGAGAAACGTATTAAAAAAAAAGGAAGAAAGAACAAGAAAAACGTGAGCGTGAGCAAATCGAGATGTACAGGAGTCAGAATGAAGTCCGAAAGTTCTACCAAAGGTTAAAACACCAAACCGAAGGTTTTGGTGCAGGCACACCCTCCTGTAGAGATAAAAAAGGAACCTTGGTGACAGATACAGACAGACATTTTTAAAAACTTCTGGTATCAAATAGTAGCAGTGAAATGGATACCCTAGAACCAATAATAGAGTGTATACCACCTAGCCAAGATGAGGTCAGAATAGCAATTAATCGACTGAAGAACAATAAAGCAGCAGATGCCGATGGATTATCAGCCGAACTATTCTAGACCGGTGATCAGATGCTGGTCAGGAGCATGCACCAGCTGATTAGTACAATTTGGCTAAAAGAATACATGCCCAATGATTGTAACCTCAACATCCTGTGTCCCGTGCACAAAAAAGGAGTCAAGACGATATGTGCCAACTTCCCATCGCATATAAAGTGCTATCCAGCGTACTGTGTGAACGACTGAAGCCAATGGTCAATGACATTATTGGTCCATACCAATGCGGCTTCAGACCTGGCAAATCCACCATTGACCAGATTTTCACTCTGCGCCAAATCTTGGAAAAACGCAAAAAAAAAACACATTGACACATTCCACGTATTCGTCGACTATAAAGCCGCATTCGACAGCCCTCCGTTCAGAGGTGTATAAAGCCATGTCTACATTTGGCATTCCTGCAAAATTATTTCGGCTATGCAGGATAACTTTAACAGGCACAATATCAGCAGTTAAAGTCGAAAAGGACCTCTCGGAGCCCTTTAATACTGAAGGAGGATTCAGACAAGGTGATAGTTTGTTGTGTGACCTTTTTAACATCCTGCTGGAAAAGGTCACACGAGAGGCTAAAGTGAAAAGAAATGGCACTCTGTACACCAAACAACACATGTTACTGGCCTACGCCGATGACATCGACATAATGGGTCGACCATTGAGAGCGGTAACAGCCACATTTGAACAAATTGAGAAGGAGTCTGCCAAAGTGAGTATGGCAGTAAACGGCGAGAAGACCAAGATGATGGTATCAACGCGCAATACGTTCAGTAGGCTAGGACCAACTGTGGCACTTGAGTAGTACAGCTTCGAGGTAGTTAAAGATTTTATATACCTTGGTACGGCCATAAATAAAACGAATGACATCAGTTTTGAAATTCGGAGAAGGATTGTGATGGCCAATCGGTAATACTATGGTCTAAGTAAGCAGTTTATAAACAAGGCCACCTCCCACCAGACCAAACTCACACTCTACAAGACGCTGATACTACCCGTGCTGTTATATGGATCTGAAGGATGGGTACTTACGCAAGCAGATGAGGCAGTTCTTGGAGTGTTTGAGAGAAAATTTCTCCGAAAGATCTATGGGCCGATCTGCGTTGACGGTGAATATCGCCGTCGAACGAACCATGCCTTGTGCCAGCTATTCTCGGACATCGACACTGTTAGACGTATTGAGCTACAGCGACTACGTTGGCTAGGTCATGTTGTGGGAATGGATGAAGATGCCCCACCCCAGAAGGTATATAAAAGCGAACCAGCTGATGATTCAAGCAGAAGGGGAAGGCCACGAATACGAGGTAAAGATCAAGTCGAAGACAACATTGCCGAAAATGGTCTTTCAAACTGTTAATTTAGAAAATCTATTGATTTCATTCTCTTGGGCGTTTACACTTTTATTGTGTTTCAAAACGCATTGAATTCCATATTCGTTACAATCTTCATACTCCGTAATATTACAACATTGAAATGTCAAATGACAGATTCTAACGAGTATGGAATTAGCGCCGACGCCACCTTCCATTATTATTGTTGACTCTCAAACACTCTCTTTTCGTTGGCCTACCAAACAACAGGTAATCTGTCACAATCTCTAAATTTTTCCACTCTTCTATTTTTTTATCAATAAAGCAACTGCCTTTATTTTAATTTAAATCTAAAAACGTTCGTGTTTTTATTTCTTATTTTTTTGCACGCAATTTCGGCGTCAACATTTTGGTCCATTCGAACCGGAGACGAGCTTTTGGAAACGATTTTCTAATTGGTTTATTGTTTGCATTTTCAGCAGCAAAAAACAACAACACAACATCATCACCATCCCTATACATCATCATCCCTAAACTCATCATAATTATCATCATTATCAACAAAAACAGGTAGGTCAGTGCAGTGTTTTTATTTTCTTTTGTGAGCTCGCGAAAAAAAAAAATAATAAACAAACATAATAATAACAACCAAAACATAAACAAATTCGACGGCCTATTTGCAACAAAAAATACAACGGCCGCTTTACAACGTTTTGTCGTTTCGTTTGTCTCTCCGTCTGTCGTATATTAGTCGCGGACGGACTAATCGCGATCAGTGAAAAAAGAAAAAAAAAATTGTTAAAAATTTTCGTATTTAATTTGTGGTTTTATTCTAAAAAGTGAGTGATTAATATTTAATAAATTTTCTATTAAAAGTTTTTAAAAAACAATTTGTTTTATTAATTGAAAACAATAATTTGAAACACCCCCACTCACTCTAATATTTGGTTGCATTCTATTAGAATAGCAAGAAAAAAATAATAACCAAACGCAAAAATATTTTCGTTTATTTCTTTTTTCACTGATCGACAATACACAATTATATTTACATTGTTACGTTGGTTGACATACGTACGCTGACGGTCAGCCACTAGCCTATCGTTTAACCATACACACACGCTATACACATACATACCATTTGTTAGGCAGCCGTCGCTCGCCTTGTTGAGTTGTTTTCTTTTGTTTCTTCTTTGTTACGTGTACGCTACACACATCGGGTCGGTCGAGTGTGGTTAGTTAACACGTTTGGTACAAAGTTGAAATTTTTTGTTTATTGAATTAGTAGTGTGTGTATGACTATTTGAAATATAGTTGTGTATAATAATAACGCAATACACCCTACAGTCCGCATTGGTTGAAATTTATATAAATAATAATTTTTAGTATTATTTATATTGAATTTGGTTGAAAATAATATAAATTTGATATTTTTGCATATATTTATATCTATAAAACATTTATATTGATTTGATTTTCAAATTGAGTGGAAAATTTATAAATTTTTTTAAACCTTTTTCGAAAATTTGTCGAATTTTAGTTAATTTTTATTGAAAGTTAAGCTTTTTCGTGTAGTTTCTTGGCTACAATTTTGATATTATCGTTCGATTTTCGGCATTTATCGACAATTATTTGCTATTTTTTGGATTTTAATCCAACTTTTGTGAGTTTTTGATAGAATCTTTGGAAAATTTTGGAACATTTTCGTCATTTCTTGGATTTTATTTGTCATAAAAACAATTTTGGTTGGTTTTTCGAACAATTTTTATCGGTTTTCAAATATTATTTCGGATATTTAGATTGTTTTAGCTAATTTGAGCTAATTCTCATTGGAAATTGTGGTAAGATCGTCGGTTTTTTTAAAACTTGTTGGACATTTTTTTTGGAATTTTATTCAAATATTGGAAAAATTGTTCAATTTTTTAATTTTTATTTCGATTTTGGTATTTTCCTTAAAGAAGTTGGTGTTTCTTTGGAATAATTTGGATCGATTGGTTAATAATCGAAATCAGATTGGCATTTTCTCAATTATTCGAGTCCTTTGTTGAGAAAATCATTAAATTTTTGTTATTTTCGTTCTCGATTGAGAAAATCATTACATTTGGAAATTTTTCGTAATCCTTTTTGATTGTTGAGCGGTTTTTGCATTTAAGACTCCAAGATGTTTACTCCTTTGGATAGTTTTATCAGAGTTTCTGACTCTTTTGTCAAATTTGTTGAATATATCCGGGCAATGAAACCCGAAGATATAAATATTTTTGCTCTGGAAGTCCGTAGCGCCGAACTAGGAAAAGTTTGGAAAGAAACAGAGGATAAGTATAGAACGTGTATTCTCTATTTGGAAACGTCTGAAGAGACGACTAAGGAAACTCTCGAGTCGGCGGATCGGAAATTTGAGGTAGTGTACCAAAAATATATGGATTGTTTATCGAACTTGAATTGTAAGCTGTCAGAATTGAAGGGCGAACAACAATTGTTGAACTCCTCTCGTAGTAGTTCAGTAGCTTCTCTAACGCAGCATCACTGTGATATTCCTAGGGAAGCGCAGCCATCAGATGTAGCGGTAGGAAAATCGAGGTCTTCTCCCCACACTCATCCGGAGGTGGTTAATTCAGCTACTAGCTCTCCAATATTGCGTATTGAAGATCCTAGTACTCCTCAGACCTTCACAATTCCCCCAAATTTAGACAGTGTACATAGTCTAACATTACCTCCATGTGATACCGATATTTTCGAAGGAGATTTTCAGTCATGGCCTACATTTAGAGACCTTTTCAGCACGGTTTATATAAATAATACGCGTTTGAGCGATATTGAGCGTCTTTGCCATTTAGTGCGCAAAACCAGTGGAGAAGCTCGGGAAATTGTGTCGAAATTTCCTTTAACGCACCGTAGTTTCGGTCCAGCGTGGAATGCGTTGAAAGACACGTATGATAATCCGCGTTTACTTGTCCACAATCAATTGAAAACCCTGTTTGCTCTGCCGGTACTTCAAATTGAATCCACTTCGGGTCTTAAAATTATCCAAAGAGGAATTAATGGTTGTTTGTCAGCGATGTCTATCTATGACATCCCAACAGAAAATTGGGACCCATTTTTAGTGTTCTTATGTCTTCAACGGCTACCCAAAATTACTCAAACCTTGTGGGAGCAAAGCGTTAGGGACAAAGCAGCTATTTCACTTTGGAAAGATTTAGATAGCTTCCTAACTGAGAGAATTAGAACTCTAATGTGCCTCCATGATATGAGAGGAAGTGAACAGGCACCCAAATCTAGCGTAAAAAGGGTCCAAACACATTTGACTAAATCGGATACGTCAAATAATTTAAAGTCGCCCCAAAAAAAGGATTGTATTCTCTGTCCGCAACACGTCCATCAACTTTTTGAATGCCCTCGGTTTAGAAATATGTCGATTTCTACTAGATTCTCGATCGTTAAACGTCGTCGCCTTTGTGTCAATTGTTTGCGAAAGGGGCACGAAGTTAAAAAATGTCTCAGTAAACATCGGTGTTCTCACTGTAGCAGAACACATCACACTTTGTTACATCGCAACGATTCCTCACCTAACAAATCGCCTTCCGTCCCAAGTCCAACTAATAGAAATATAAATATCGGGGGAAATAGACCCTCTAGTAATTCGGTCAATCCAACTCTTCCATCTACGTCGTCTTCTTGTACTCCTCGACAAGTTTTCCATGTAGCACAAAATAAATCGGTCCTTTTAGGAACAGCGATGGTAAATCTAATTCATTGCGGAATCTCGTACCCAGCTAGGGCCCTAATAGACCCCGCTTCAGAGTCGTCGTTTTTGTCTGAGCGGCTTCAAAATCGTTTGAAACTCCCTGTCTCGTCAACTAATGTTAGCATTTCGGGCGTAAATTGTGCAATTTCGGCAAATTCACGCAAAATTTGTTCGATAAAGATCGGAAGTCCCTGTGATCCCTCGGTCTTACTATCCACCAATGCATTAGTGTTGCCAATGATATCGGGAAGTTTACCATCATTCTCTGTCTCCTCAGATTTTAAGTCTCAAATGCCTAATCTTCGTCTGGCTGATGTTAACTTATTCGATTCTAGACCAGTTGATCTTCTGCTAGGTGCCGATTTATACCCTAAAATATTGTTAGAGGGATGTCGTTCCATAATTTCGGGAACTTTGCTGGCACAAAATACAGTTTTCGGTTGGCTCGTTACAGGACCTATTCCTTCGTCACAAATTAGAACCTTTGCCACTACTATCAATATCGAAGAAGAGGATTCGTTAAATAAGACCCTACTACGGTTCTGGGAATTAGAAGAAACTCCAAAGCGGAAACTTATGTCTCCATCCGATCGGCTTTGTGAAGAAAACTATATTCAGACCACTCGTAGAACCTCTGACGGTAGATATATTGTGACCCTGCCCTTACGAAATGATGTAAGCCTAGATGGTTACTTAGGGGAATCTCGTGGTAATGTCCTTAAACAATTCCTTCGAAATGAGTCCTCCTTATTGAGAAAACCGGACATTAAAATCACATACGATCAAGTTTTGACGGAGTATTTAGACCTGGATCATATGAAACCAGTATCTCCTGCCACCTCCAATACACTTTCGTGCTATTTGCCCCATCATCCGGTTATCAACCCAGAAAAACAGACGACCAAATTACGGGTCGTCTTCAATGCGTCCAATAAAACATCTAATGGGAATAGTTTGAATGACATTTTGCATGTTGGACCGACTTTGCAACTTGATCTCGTTCTTCTAATACTTCGTTGGCGAGTATTTAAATTTGTATTCAATTCGGACATTACCCAGATGTATCGGCAGATCCGGGTTGACCCCCACCAAACCCCCCTTCAACGAATTCTCTATCGGGACTCGCCAACCAAACCAATTCAAGATTATGAACTACAAACGGTGACCTTTGGTTTGAATTGTGCGCCGTATCTGGCCATTCGGACACTTTTGCAACTGGCGGACGAAATAGAAAATAAATATCCTCTAGCGGCGCATATCTTGCGAAAATCAATGTATGTGGATGATGTTTTGGCAGGAGCTCATGATCTTGAGACGGCGTTGGCCGCTAGGGACCAACTAATTTCGGCACTTTCTTCGGCAAAGTTTGAATTAAGAAAATGGACATCCAATGATAAGGCAATTTTGAATCGTTTCCCGCCAGAACATTTAGTGGATGCGCAATTGTTGTCATTTGTGGAAGCTAGCAGTTCTAAACCTCTTGGTATAAGGTGGAATGCTAGGTTAGATTCCTTTTATTTTGATGTCAAACCTATAGAGAAGAAAACGTCATATTCGAAACGGGAGGTTTTGTCGGCAATAGCTAAGTTGTTTGATCCTGTTGGTTGGTTAGGACCAGTTATTGTCACTGCAAAAATTATAATGCAAAAGATCTGGCTAGATCAAATCGGTTGGGACGATCCGCTTGTACAAGCCACTTATTCGGAATGGCTTAAATTCGTAGAGACATACCCCCAAGTAAATGCAATTCAAATTCCTCGGTGGGTTCGGTACACCCCTCAATGTTCGGCGGAATTGCATGTGTTCTCTGATGCCTCAGTTAAGGCATACGCCGGGGTAGTATATATTCGAATTGAAGTCCCTGGTCAGAATGTGTTCGTGCATTTGCTATCTAGCAAGACCAAAGTAGCTCCAATTAAATCAATTTCCCTTCCTCGTTTGGAACTTTGTGGAGCAGTTTTAGCCTCGGAACTTTTGAAGGTTATTACAAAAGAGATAGACGTAGAATTTCGTCAGGTCTATTGTTGGACAGATTCTACGATAGTTTTGTCGTGGCTTCGGAAAACACCTTCTACTTGGACAACATTCGTCGCCAATAGAGTTTGTAGAATCCAAGAAAATGTTGGTAATCACAACTGGTACCACGTTCGGTCGGAAGATAATCCTGCAGATTTAGGAAGTCGAGGTATATCGCCAGTTGATTTAGCTAATAGTTCCCTTTGGTGGCATGGGCCGGAGTGGCTCAGTCAAGATAAATCGAGTTGGTCTATTCGAGATTTAACTCCACTTGAAACAGATATTGAAATGCGCTCGGTGCAAACTCATTTTTCCTTTGTTTCGTCAACTTTTGTAGATATTTTGGATAAATATTCATCCTTTGTAAAGGGCATTCGTGCAGTTGCATATATGTTTAGGTTCCTTCGTCAAACTTGTAGTCGATACCGAGGTAAATATTGTTATCCCGATAAAAGAATTACGACGTCGGAATTTGAGGAGGTTCGACTTCTCCTAATAACCCTCACTCAAAAGGTACATTTTGTAAAGGAATATAAAGATTTGTTGGATAAGAAATTATTATCAACCTCGAGCAGTCTTGTTCCTTTAAATCCAATTTTAGATGACAATGGTGTCATGCGAATGAATGGTCGTTTGGCACGTTCGCCAACTCTTTCTCCATCGGAACGGTGTCCAATTATTCTCCCTTATAAAAGTAGGTTCGCTAGACTTTTGGTGGAATACGTTCATATAAAGTGTGTTCACGGTGGAATACAGTTAATGCTACGCACTTTACGAATGGAATATTGGATTCCAAGAGTAAAAAATTTGATCCGATCAGTCATTCGGAATTGTAAAGTCTGTTTATTAGATAAAAAGAAACATTGTAGCCAAATTATGGCAGCGCTACCACCGGAAAGAACAATGATTGATAGGGCGTTCACTAATACCGGTATTGACTTTGCCGGTCCTTTTGATGTGAAATCGTACAGTGGTCGAGCTTGTAAAATTACCAAAGGATATGTTTGTGTGTTCATTTGTTTTTCGACTAAGGCTATTCACTTGGAAGCCGTATCTGATTTGTCAACTGCTAACTTCATGGCCGCATTACATCGATTTATTGCTCGTCGAGGTTGTCCACGTACGATATTTTCTGATAATGGTACAAATTTTGTTGGCGCTTCACGTGAAATTAGGCGGAACTTCATTCAATTCATTCGCGAAAGTTCCGAATCGATTTCAGATACCCTTATTCAGCAGGGTCTAGAATGGAAATTTATTCCAGCGGGTGCACCACATATGGGTGGACTCTGGGAAGCGGGAGTTAAAAGTTTCAAACATCATCTTCGAAAATATAGTCGAAATCTTCGTTTCACATTTGAAGAGTTAGCCACGGTCTTATCCCGAATAGAAGCTTGTCTTAACTCACGTCCTCTTTGCCCAATGTCGGATAGTCCAGGAGAAGTTGTAGCTTTAACACCCGGCCATTTTTTGATAGGAGCCCCTTTATTAGCTCCGCCTGAGCCTGTTATAACTGAGCAACCGATGTCGCTGGTGAATCGGTTTAGAAAAGTCCAGGCACTTGCTCATCAATTTTGCATCAGATGGAAAGATGAATACCTTAAAAATTTGCATATGCGGTATAAGTGGAAATTTCCGCAAAGAGATATTGTAAATGGCGATTTAGTCGTGGTTCGGCACGAGAATCTCCCTCCGACCTCGTGGAAGTTAGGTCGTGTAGAAAATGTTTACCCGGGTGTAGATGGGCACGTTCGAGTGGTAGATATTCGTACGGCAAACGGCGTTGTAAAGCGGCCTATATCCAAGTTGGTCATTCTGACCGACCAATCGTCGAATGATGAAAATCATTAAAATATTTTTCTTCCCTCTTAGTAACATGGACGCTTCCAATATGTACACCATTGATCTCATCGCTGAAATCGACGATATATTGCAAAGTGGAGATCGTACCACTAGGTCGAAAAACCGCACAACTTCGGAAGTTTTGGATGAGTTGGTTCGTCCAATAGCTGCGGTTAAAATAACTGACTTTGAGACGGAATCCGTAACTGCGGGTTCCAGCATACCCCCAATCACCATCGATACATTATCCGAATCCGTAACTGCGGGTTCGAATCGTGTGCAACCACCGGAATCCGTAACTGCGGGTTCTTCGGCACCAATCGTGGAAAACTCAAAACCCAGATCTGATCCCATAGCTGTGGGTGACTCGGTCGTGGTTCCACCATCGGAGTCCGTATCTGCGGGCTCCTCGAATTTAAATAGAAATTGTCGCGTTTGCAATCGCCGGCACTCGATTGGTACGTGCCGCGATTTTCTTGCGATGTCTGTCGAAGCGCGCATACACATCATAACTGTCAACCGGGACTGTACACGCTGCCTAGCCAAATGGCATCAAGCCAAAGAATGCCACAGTCAAAAAACGTGTGTCAAATGCGGAGGAAGGCACAATACCCTTTTGCATTTGGAGTCTGTGGATCAAGGGAACGTTACTAAAATGTCCGTCCGTTCTCGTCAAAACATAAGGTCTCGTCCGTATCCTAGTCCTATGTCAGGTCCGAGATTGAGATCCGATTCAACATCGTCCGTTGATAATCGCCATGTTGCCAATTTTGTTGGAAATTCTCTCGGGTCATTACCCTTGCAACAGGTATCGACAATATCCCCCAGTCTTATCGTAAGACTTCAGCATGTCGGACCCTCGATTCCAATTCGTGCAGTATTGGATCCTTGTGGTAGGCAAAGCCTAATATGTGCCTCAATGGTGTCTGACCTGAGGCTTCCCACATCCAATTTAGATGGGATCCGGTTCTGTCGCATTTCGGTGGCATCTACCTACGACCCATCTCAAACCCTCTCAGTCATGGCTCGGGTAACAGATTTGCGACATGTCGTTACTCCGTTGGAAGCCATCCCCGAACGCACAAAAGAGTCATTCCTTGGGCTACCGCTGGCAGACCCATGCTTTTTTAGGCCAGGCCGCGTGGCATTAGTATTTGGTCCTGAAATGTATGCCAAAATCGTCACCAATCGGGTGCAAGCGATGCCGGGGCTTCCTGTAGCCCACTATACTATGTTTGGTTGGGTACTCTCTGGAGTATGCCACACCTAGTTCTTAGATATTAAATGCTCGTATTTAATTGGAAAAAAATAAATGAAATTATTATGAATTGCTCACAAAACTGCACTGTCCTACTCTATCTTATTTGTACTTATAAATTAAGTTATATATATTGTATAATTTGGAGTGTTACAACATTAATAATGTTGCAAGGGGGTCGCCAATGTTTAATTTAGAAAATCTATTGATTTCATTCTCTTGGGCGTTTACACTTTTATTGTGTTTCAAAACGCATTGAATTCCATATTCGTTACAATCTTCATACTCCGTAATATTACAACATTGAAATGTCAAATGACAGATTCTAACGAGTATGGAATTAGCGCCGACGCCACCTTCCATTATTATTGTTGACTCTCAAACACTCTCTTTTCGTTGGCCTACCAAACAACAGGTAATCTGTCACAATCTCTAAATTTTTCCATTTTTCCACTCTTCTATTTTTTTTATATATAAAGCTACTGCCTTTATTTTAATTTATATCTAAAAACGTTCGTGTTTTTATTTCTTATTTTTTGCACGCAATTTCGGCGTCATTCTGAATGATTTCGTGGAAATGCAAAACATACTTGCAACATTCTATTGAAGGGGTCTGTACAGACACACGCACAGAGACAACCTGTCAGGCAGTCCTACCATTCCGGCAGTCAGTTAGTCATTGGTTCGGTCCTTCGACCATAGGTATGAAATACCATGAAATCCGAAAATATGTTTAATGATTATTGTTGTTTGGATCGAAAGCTGAACGAAGCCTTCATGCGAACACTTGGATGGTGTGTCATTATCTTCCGAAAAAAAAGTATGTGGAGGACACTTTTTGTAGTTGCCGGTGTTGCTGTAATAAATGACATAAAGTGGAAAGCCAAATGCAGGGCACAATGGGAGACATATTAGAGGAATTCTTAAAAAAAATTAAAACATCCCCATCTATTGTAGGTATCTAGAAAAATATTTTTAAACTTCCACACCTATTGCAGGTCTCTACAGAAATATTTTAAAAAATCCAGGCCTATTGCAGGTCTCTAGAGAAATATTTTTAACCAGTAAGCGGAGCAGTATAGTCGGACGGGGCCGACCATATGTTACCCTACACAACTACCACGGGACTCTAAATTTCTACGGATGTTTATTTCGAGCCTGGGCAATATTTCGTGATATTTGCATCCTCTTTGCCGATTAGAGATCAATAGCACGTCTTCCTTACACTGACATCTTTTCCGATTATTCCCAATATTCAGTAGGCCCTTCTAATTACTTGTCCAGATTCTCTTCACCGTAGGTTTTGTTGTGATGTTCGTCTTGTGGCCTATAGATCGATTCGAAAAAATTAAATTTTCGGTCCACTTCATCCCAATTTTTTATGTGGTCATCACCGAAAATTATAGGCGTTGTCCTTGACCATACCTGGAACCTCATGGAACGGTTCAAAGCGATCAGCGCTATATTTCCGCCCTCCAGTATGGTAATGGGTTACTAAATAAAATATGAATACGCAAGCACCTGTAAATATTTATGTGTAACTCCCACATCCGACTACATACGACAATTGGTATCAAATTAAAGGGCAATATCTCCTCTTGAATATAATATCAACTTCTCGGGTCTATGTCCGTCAGGGGTAAATATATACGCCATAGAATACAAATTTTGTCATTTTTCACACAAAAGTCAGGGTCCCTTTGACCCGCCAAATATTGACCGATCTTTATCAATACAGTCATGCTTATTCTTTGGACCGGCGTTTGGACCATAATTGCGGCCTCTGGAGCGACCAGAAAATCCGACAAAAATATTGTTTATGGACCATTGCATCCCCTAATTATTAACCAATAGGGGTCTTCATTGGCCAGAACCCATCCTACATGCAAAATTTCATGAAGATTGGTCGATAACTGTGGCCTGTATCGTTTTTACAAATTATAATGACAGGCGGACGGACGGACGAGAAAAAATATTTTTAAAAATCCACGCCTACTGAAGGTCTCTAGAAAAAATATTTTTAAAAATCCACGCCTACTGAAGGTCTCTAGAAAAAATATTTTTAAAAATCCACGCCTACTGAAGGTCTCTAGAAAAAATATTTTTAAAAATCCACGCCTATCGTAGGTCTCTAGAAAAATAATTTTTAAAAATTCACGCCTATCGTAGGTCTCTAGAAAACAATTTTTAAAAATCCACGCCTATCGTAGGTCTCTAGAAAACAATTTTTAAAAATCCACGCCTATCGTAGGTCTCTGAAAAAACAATATTTAAAAATCAACGCCTATTTTAGGTCTCTAGAAAACAATTGTTAAAAATCTACGCCTATTGTATTTTAAATTATTTCGAATTCATTTATCCTCCATTGTTGTTGTTGTCTTTTTCTTCGTGGAAATTTAAAACCATCTCCATTATGGCAACTACTCCACACCAACAACAACAAAAACAAAAACAACAAGTTGCAAATGGAACCCTGCCCAACAATGGCATTTAACGTGCAATATATTCCGATAGATATCGGTGTGGCAGAATCGGTGTGATAAGCACCCGTTGCATTAATGTTTCATAAAACGTTTCGTTTACACCTTCTTTCGGCATTGTCAAGTGCATGACCAACAGCATTTAGCAGGGTGAACGGAATGAGCGAACGAACCAACAACTGAATGAATGACTGACTGAATGAGCATTGAAGGTGGTCTTTTGCTCGCTAGGTGTGTGTGTGTGGCTGTGTGTTGGCTGATTTAATTTGCTGCTCTGGCCAGGTATGTGGGGGACAAATGCCATTATCTTATATCTGACCTGTGTGGAATGATGATGACGGCGATGCCTGGCTCCTGGCATTAGCACTTATGTGAATAACGGCATGCATTTGGAACTTGAGGTGCATGCATCATCAACAGCAGTAGCGGCAATGGCAACGGCACGTGTAATTATGTCCATGACTAGAAGCCACAATGTCAGAGCATTACACTCAACTAATGTTGGAAGAATCCATTCATGGTCCCTCTACCTCCCCATCTCTTCCTCTCTCCAACTCTTCATCCTCATCTAAAGCACTATGGTCGGTCATATAGAGCTGATGGTTAGCATTGTGGTAAATGACTGTTTCATTTGGGTGCGTTGTTGTCGCCACCAACCGATGTCATCCCCACAAAATGTGGCATGCAACCCGTGCACATAGTGCCGCCATTCTAATCGAAAATTTCCATAAATTCATTTTTGCTAATGCCCCAGCCAGACGAGGGAATGTGACTTCGTTTTTTGCTTTGTGTGTCCCTTGTTATGCTTTTGTTTTCTTTCAATTTCTGAAAAAAATATTTTTGCAGGACCATCAACGATTCGTGACCAAATACCACCAATCAGACACACACTCACATGCAAATAAAAAATACACCTACGCCCCCGCCATTTCCGTCAACTTCCTGTTGCATGTCTGTCAAATAGTTTCTCGTTTAGAAAAATGCTAAATTAGTTATTGTTTGAAAGGGAAGATGAATGGATGGCTGAGTGGACGGGATGTCGGAGTATTTAGATTGCAGTGATATACTACCTTATTGGTGATACACTAAAGGTAAGATGTCGGACGGCATTGGGGCATGAGTAATTGTAACCAATGTCAACTGTCCTGTGTTATTTGAAAAATAATGGCCTTAGAAAAAAGAAATATGAGTGGTCTTTGGCTTGATTAACGAAGAATTTTTCTGATGAGGATGTTTGAGGGTGTGGATTTTTTCAAGCCTTAATAATAGGACTGGATTTTTTAAATAAAATTTTTTCAAGCCTTAAAAATAGGCGTGGATTTTTTAAAGAATACGTTTTTCAAGCCTTAAAAATAGGCGTGGACTTTTTAAAGAATACGTTTTTCAAGCCTTAAAAATAGGCGTGGACTTTTTAAAGAACACATTTTTCAAGCTTTAAAAATAGGCGTCAATTTGTATACCCTTCACCACACTGTGGTACAGGGTATTATGTCTTTGTGCATACGTTTGTAACAGGCAAAAGGAAACCAGATAGACCCATAGTTCCTTAAAATCACATTCTGAGACGATTTATGCAGGTCCGTCCGTCTATAGATGTTAAATTATAAACAAAGTACAGGTTGCATTTATGATCCGATTTAAATGAAATTTGGCACAGTTCACTTATTTGGGCCAAGAACGAACCCTATTGAAATTGGGTAAAATCGGTTAAGATTTAGAT